TAAAGAAGACAATGGAAATTGTGAAATGTATATATGTCGCTGTAGCTCATTTTAAATGTTAAATACTTAAATGCTTAAATGTTGTCTACATGATGAGCATGTTTCTCTTTCCACTGAAACTCTGGGACAACGTACAAGACGTGCAACATGCGAAGAATGTATTTTAACAAAAAATAAAATTAATATGTACTCTTTCGTAGAAGAAACGAAACAACGATTTATTTTGTTTCCTAGCACACATATTTATTCTTCCACTTTTCTGTGTCCGTCGGTGTTCTGTGATGCATGCACATTAGAAATAATTAAATTATGTTTGTTCATAGTTTAATTCAATCTATTTTACTAGGTTAAGAATAGGGTGAGAACATCAGAAGAAAAAGAACGAACGATTTTTATCAATATTTACTCTTAAGTATGAGTTCACAGTGACACGCTGTACACCATTCAGTTTTACAATTCTTTGTCTGCAAAACATCGATACCAATAGAAAATATCATTTTGACTGAGAAATAAATAATTTAATGACAAATAGGACCTTTAAAGCTGAAATTGAAATTACTGGTTATGTAGGTGCAGTTATTGGTCGTCGCGGTTTAACAGTTCAATGTATACAATCTGAATCTGATGCAAAAATTGAAATTGTAACGCAACCAGATTCTGTTTGTCAAATTGCTCAAATTCAAGCCGAGACTGAACATTCATTGAATATTGCAATCAGCAAAATAAATAAGATACTCTATGAACAGCAGCGACAGCCACCTGAGTTAAATTCTTTGCAAAAATACAAAAGTCATCCAAATGAACCTTGTGACTGGAAATCGACTGGATCTCGTCAAGAGGTTGATCGAGTACATAATAAAGGTTGCGGGAAATATCGAGCATACAAATGCGCAAAATGTGGAAAATTTCAACGTCGCTATCTGAACAAAAATGAGAAAAAAAAATATTATGATGACTGACAAGAATTTTTAGAAAGTATCTCTGTACAAATGAACTTTATAAGCAAAAAGATTATTCTCTCAAACTTTTTTAATATAATTATTATAATTCGTGCAAGTAGTGTTCGCATTTTCGCTTGACGCTTAACTGAACAACTTGACAGAGATAAACCGAATCAAGCACAGGAAGAAGTATCATGACGAACCACCAGAGAGATATTTTGGAGAAGGACGTCACTCATCGAGATTAACCACTGTAGCATTTTCTGATTTCCCACACACAGTGGGCAATTTCCACTAGGCAGGGGATCTTTTGGCCCGCAAACTAGAGGAAAACTTAAAAGCGCGTTTTTTATGGGTTATCGTGTGTGCTCTATCTAATGGAATGCTATACGAGTTCCAAAAAAGTTTTTTAAGTGGTTTTTCAGAGATCTGATTTCTAGAAAGCCCGTAAAAAAAATCAGAAACAATTGCATTGGATAGAGAATCATCGATAATCTATATAAATAGTGTTTAGACTATTTCATCTGTTGATAATTTCAAATTTTAAAAATTTCAGTCAAGAATCCTTATACGCACGTGCATGAAACAAAGGAGTCAACTAAATTCAAAAGTTTCCGTATAAACACGGCTGAATAATACACCATTCGACGCAGTTTTTGCGCTGATTCCAAATATATTATTGATTTTTAATTTCAATGCTCATGAACTGAGCTAGTCTGGCTTTATCTTAAAAACCAAGGGTTTTTGGAAAACTTTCTGTACGGTCTAAGTGCATTTATATGCATGTTTATGCATTCATCATAGTTGGAGGACATGTAGAAGATTCTGTGATAGTCTGAACGAGTTTAGAGTTGGGATGCGGAGGGGAGACTCACTTTACTAAAACTATCCGTTTCGGAAAGCACTAAGCGCGGAAAGAAAATTTTTTTTGCTAACAGAAATGATGAAAAAAAACTTTTTTTATGAATCCATACAGTGATTCAAAGTATACTTGACACTATGTGAATCTCGAAAAATTGTGGGTTCATTGTTTCACCCTAATGTCCGCGTGATTGCCGACTGTGTCACGATCGACTACTCATCTCATGGCGACTCAGAAAACGACCATGAGTAGTCCTCCAGGAGCGATCTTCTTGGTCGACCTCTGTAGTGATTTGTGTGCTGGCAGTGGTATGCCAATGGTGAAATCAATCAGAGATGCATCACTTACCTTTCACTTATACACAGTTTAGTCACTGATGTCGGCCTGCCTTTTGTGAAACTCCTCCCGTCTTACAAAGGAGAGGAAGTTTCAGTTTATACGCAAAAATCAGTCGTATACCAGATAATTTGGATGCTCCCCTTGTCCTGCTTACACGTTCTTAAAAAGTACTCTTACTTACGCGATCTTAAAATGGCCTTTACGCCATCTGAAAAAGTCCCTTACGCGATCTGAAAACTTTTACGTAATTGACGATAGTGCCTTCACCTTCATCTTAAAGTTATGCACAACTTTTAGAGGCATTGAGTTGTAACCAGATGTGTATGTACATCATTTGAAGGATGGCTTTACATGATTTTACAGTGCTTTTATATGCGATGCTATTTCGATCTTTGCTGTATATTTACCCTCTATGGGTTCTTGATTGCATGTTAAATCTATCTTTAGTTGGTGGCACCTTTGCGTTTATGTTTCAGTTTCCTACTAGGGTTACATGGGAATACATTTTTTTCTCCTTAGACATTTTCTGGAGGATTCTAATGTGTAGCCATAGACTCTATTAAGTTTTTCATTCTCAGAGGGTGCTTATTCCAGATTATCATGAGAAAAAGTTTATTTGAAATAGCAATGTGGGTCGGGCTTTACTTGGTCTTACAAAAGTAAGCTAATTTATTCTATAACAGTATAATTATGAGTTTCTCACCCTGACAAGGTTTTTCGCTTGCTTCTTTCGTTTACATTACTATTGGTTGCTCAAGACTCGTCGAAGAGGAGTTCTTGACCATAATTCACTCAACTGTACTTTAAGAGCCCAAATTCATAGTAAAGAACTTTCGATGATGGTGAGCGGTCTTCTGTCGAAACGCACAAGAATAATGGTGAACGAAATCGTGCAAAAAAAATAAAAAGATTCGAGCCGGAATCGAACCTACGATAATGGTAAGAATATATATCATACTTTGCTCTATCCTGTTCAGTCATTGAATCTATACACATAGACTATCATTTTGAATGTATGGTCGAATCTCGACAACTGAAAACACCGAAAGTGAAAGCGCAGAATAGATAAGATCGAAAAGTAGAATGTAGAAAACAAAAATGATGAAAGTGCAAAATGTCGAAAATGCAGAATGTCGAATGAGAATACCAACCAAAATGTGAGTTCTGGAAGCGGACTGGTATCTTCAAAATATTTCTTGCTCATAGTCCAAATCAGAATAGTTATTTGCTGTTCTATTTCTTTGCATAATAAAGAGACGTAAAGTGTTTTAAAATTTTAGAAAAATACTTTGTACAAATGTATCGAACTGAATGAACTATGATCTATACTTATTGATATCACCTCATCAAACGGCACGGGAAAAAATTTCACATACAAACAAAATGACAATTTGCACAGAAGATTTGCAAATCTCTCGGCAGAACTATGAGCCAGAACTAACATTTTCGTTAGTATTCCCGTTTGCCATTCTGCACTTTCGTCATTTTGTTTTTTAGATTTTAGGTTTTCGACATTCTGCTTTTCAGTCTTATCCATTCTGCGTTTTCACTTTCGGTGTTTTGAGTTTTCGACCAAAGGCATACATACCATCCTTTTACATAATATACGTGAAAAAAATTCATCTTGTTCTATTTATAGATAATAAACAACATATACTGTCAGCCATTTTGGTTTATTTTGAGACATTCTCTTGCTGTAATTTGTACAAAACACTCAACTAACTTTAGCTCCTAGATTCTTTTACTAAACTATTAGATTCGAGAGTAAAAATATACTAGCAAACTCTCGAGGCGGACGAACGCAACAAAATACGTGGAGGGTGCTAGACTAAAATAGACTGTAAAACGATGAGTCGTCCGACCGTCAGGACCAACTAGTTGGCCAGCTGTCGTCTCCTCTGTTTTCTGTCTTCAAGTGTAATCAGTTTCTCCACGTAACGTGACACTTCGCTGATCAAGTATTTTTTTCATCGAGAAGTCGATAGGAGCCCATCACCAGACGTAGTTTTTCATGCTGATCACGAATTCGGTCTTTATTTTGAAAAAAACTATATTTTCAATTAAAAAATTTAAATTTAAAATTTTTGAAAACTTTGATTTTAATTTTCTGACTTAGAGATTTTCGTAAAATAATTTTTAAAATATACTGTCGAATAGAGAATTCAATTCTCTACAAATGGTTCGTTTTCTTTTGGGAAATATTTCACAGTCGGGGTACAAGGGCTGCTTGCAAGTTTGAACTCCAGACTTGACTCAAAAGCCTGAGGCCACTTTTGGAACTTCGATTGCAAGTGGAGTATCTTCAGGAAGGCTAGTAGTACCCAAGCTATAAGTATGAAATTGTTTGAAGAAAGTTGAGTGCCCTAAAATGGTCTGACAAAAAATGTATAACAGCGTTACGTTTATTTTTTGTTTTTTTTACGCTAGTAAAAATAGTTAGAAGAAAATCTTTTTTGCCGCTGAAAAGCTCGTTCGATGCTCGATAAAATTAGGGGTATTTCATTTGGAGAACCACTTTCGCAGGAATTTAGAACTTTATCAAGCGCACGTCGAATTTAGGGTCTTTTTGTGTAACAGCGGTACGCTATGAAAAAACCTTCCTCGAAGCTCCAGACTTCAACCAAAAAACTTCGTTTTTATAGCATACGTAGAGTATGATGAGCTGCGTCGAACGGCGTTTGAACGAACTTTCTAGCTCTCAAATTTTTCGAGATAATTGAGAAAAAGTATGTCAAACACTTAACACCGTTACGTTTGAACAAGCCGTAATACGTCTTTTCATGATATTTTATTTGTTTAACTTATCGCACAAAAACCAGAATTTTTATGGATCCGTGTTCTCTATTTTTCAGAAACTGGAAATTGCAGATCTCTAGTTCTTTTGTTTAGACTATTTATATACGTATTTAAAAAACATCCATAACTATTCTATTTTGGAACCAATAACAGTGTGTTTTTTGTATTTGATGTATTTGTACTGGCTGTACAGTAAAACAAATTAAGATTCTAAATTTACAAATGAAAATGAAAATTTTGAACTTATGTAGGAATTTAAGATAACTTCAAACATACCATTGGGTATAACATCGAATACATCGAAATAAATCCAGGGATTTGTGAACATTGCAACATACGTCTAAGAGTTCAAATGCGTATTATTTGACTCCAGATATCTTTTTCTTTATCAACATAATATCGATGTTCTCTATTTTCCGTAGTTTCCATTTTCACGTGACATCCGGCATGTTAAAATGCAAGTGATTAAAAAAGTTAAAAGACAAGTGATTATCATTCGTAGCGGTTAATAGGTAAAGTGCACCAAATTCAAACTTTCCTCATCATTTTATTGTTAGCTTAATTATACATCATTCCATAGAGCTTTTCAAGCTGATCAAGAATATCTTGGTCTTAATCATATTCATACAATTTTTCAGTGAAACACATGCAAAGAAACTAATAGGGTCTCGTTTTTCGAAAAAATGGCTATATTTGTTAAAAACTGAATAGCTCAGCCCTGGTTCATTTTGAAACCTTGAAACTATGTTTTCGTAATCAGTATTAAAATCTAAATATAAAAAGCTATATTTCAAGATTCCAGAGTACAAAAACGTTTTGTGCGCCAAACAGGGTCGAGGTACCTCCAGTTTCCTCTTCCGGAACAAAAGTACGTCTTGCTCTTATCATTAACGTCTTTTACGATCAACGAACTGGAAACAAACTGTTGGAACAATTTGCATTCTCCAGAACTTCTATCCCTATTTTTGTGTTTTCATTGTTTCGATCTTCACCCTACACAGCTTTTCGGTAAGGGTATATT